ATATTAATACTACCATTAGTATTATTTTAATAGAAATCAATACGAAATATGGAAGCCTACGTATACTCATCTAGTTATACATCAATCGCCAACTACCTATATACTACATATATGCGTACCGGTTGAATTCAGATTCCCAGACCCTGGAGTAGACACAGTATTATAACTAATCCCGCTTCCTGCAGAGCTCATCACTGGCGTAGTCAGTGCCATATGGCTTTGATTCTGGTGTTGCGGAGAAGACTGATCATGATTGAATATACACCCCTTGTCTCTGAACTTACAGTATCCGTGTAGTGCGATATTCCGACAGGGTTTACGCGAGGTCGAGGAACTGGTACTATTCTGGCTGATAAGTGTACCAGAAGACGTCGAAGCCGATAATGGTATAGTCGAAGCTTGGCTACTAGTATTCGCTACCTCTACCCCTACCCCTGCACTCATCCCTTCGTTCTTTATACTACTATTGTCTGCATGTGCATGTGCATGTGTGTGTGTGTGTGAATTTGTATTCACAAGGTTGCTGTATGATACCCCTTTGTCGGGGTCTGTAGTAGTCGTGCCTTTGTTCGGTGTGGACTCCAATTTATTAGAATTGGTACCAGATGTTGCAGGTGCGCCTGCGTGAACAAAGTTGCACTGATCGCCATAGAAACACATGCCCCCCATCGCATAGTAACGACATGCGCTGCTACTTGCTGGCGAGTTTGTGGTCTCAGAATCCACCGCAGCACCGTGTACATTCATATTGACATTGATATACTTGTACACAAGAAATCGTATATCGTATAATCTCGCGACGATATACCACTTAAGGTTTAACAATATATGTCCAGAATTTTAGGTACATCGATGACAACTAATGCCCAATAGATCATATATAGCCACGTGATTATGTGTGTGAGAGCGTAGTCGTATGTATATATATATATATATGTGTGTGTGTGTGTGTGTGTGTGTGTAGGTTGCTATGTGTGTGGGAAAGCTGCCAGGAACATTAAAGCCTCTGAGCAAGAACAGCGACGGTTGGCTGGTACGCTGCCCATGCCCACCCCCTTAATCATGTAAGCGTGTGTGCATGTATGTGTGTATACATACATGGATCCGCACTGAGTCCCGTGGTTTGTATACTACAACAGAACAGTTCAGATTGTCTGTTGTAGTATACAAACAAGGCTATCTCGAACAAGAATGCAAGTGATAGTTCTGGTAGTTCACCCGCTTGAAACTATATGCCACGGGGATGTGCTGATTTATATCAAATTGAAAGAATAAATTAGATCCGTGGGATGATATAGAATACTGTAATATATTAGCGGCTATGATGCTTGCAAAGCACGAAACAGTGCAAATAGCTATACACTTCAAATCGTTATAGTAGGATGTTGTGTGTGTACTTTAACTACGCCGATGAAGTACACTATATGGAGGGTCATCATAATAATAATAATACCGGCGGTATTAACGAAAACCCTACCACGCTGACCCAATTCCTGTGTGCAATTGTAGCGATATTGTGTAGAATAATATATTTGATTAGGACGAAGTGGACTAAAAATATTGGTGTTAACGGAACTAGGTGTCATGGAAATATTAGGACATAAAGGATATAAAGGACTTTAGATATCAGTGTATTGGAATTAGCACAAAATGAATTACATATATATATTTATAGGTGTAGAATGGAAAATTATTTTCAATATTGAACAAAATGGACTATAAAATTTATTAGGTGTAAATGAAAATATATAGCCAATAAAAATATAAAAATAGATCGAGTCCAATATAATCAGGACATACTCTGGGCTAAAAAGCCAGGGTTATGAGGCTAAATATCAAACCAGGGTATGCCATATAATGTAGTGATACGATGTACTTTTTGTGCATCTTTATATCTGTCGCTTTTAGAGGGGGCTATGTCTACATGTACAATATATTAAGTACTTTAGGCTTGCAGGTCGGTTGTGCTCTTCGCGAGTTTGAGTATGCCACCTCCTGATTTAACAAGCACCCTCTATTTGTACTGATGTGAACAAAGATGATAGATGAGAT